TGCACCCCGGAGCCTAATTCAACATCTAGCCCAAGTTCAGTCATGCATGATGCCTTTAAGACTATTGCTATAGCTGCCTTTTACCAGTACCTTTGTTTTACTTAATATACTTCTTTCTGACTTGACCTACCCAGTAATACCTATGAAGTCATAGTTTTCTATTAAAACTAGCATACACAAGTCCCTACTTATTTATCAGCTAAACTCAAGAGGTATGAGTTGTATGTGTATTACTTAAGACGCTGGCTTGACTCCTACTAATATGAGTGTCTTATATCTAGGCAGTATATGTTGGTGACATATACTGCCTAGATATAAGTAGAGACCCTTTCCATTTTACGATTTTACTTCCTAGCAGGGGGTGATGCTATAAAGAACATAGTATGTTAGGTGGTAAGTACCAAGGAAGGAAGAGCTAGACCAGGGTGAGGGGTAAGCCTTATGCAGGATGGGGACACTCGACCGAGTCTGATGGGGTAAAGGGATGAGCCATGTGAATGCACCAGCTACCCATAGTCCTGAGGCAGGAGTGTACCTGGAGGGTAAGAGCTTTACAACTGATTACCACAGCTTTAAGGTGGCTAATGTGCAGTTCTGTCCTAGGGTCTAGATAGGACACTGCAGGTAGAGCTGAGAGGACAAGAACCTAGGTACAAGTGTGTATAGTTACAGCCTCAGAGCATTGTAACGTGCAGGTTCTAGAGTCTAGTGGGTGGTCCAATCCCAGCTCTGCCACTTACTGAGTATTGCTTTGGGCTAGTTAAGCAACAAGCTTGGGATTCTTCATTAAGATGGCTACTGCCTCCCTCACGGAACTGCCTCCCTCATGGGGTGAGGATGCTCAAATAATGCATGTAGAGTGCATAGTACTGTGCCTGGCATATGGCAGGTGTTTAATAGATGGAAAGGGACTGGAGATCTTTTTCCTCCAGGTAGAGTATTAGAGCCAGGTTTCTGTGGGGTAGAATCCCTTTTCGTAAGACCTGAGGGTAATAGGAAAGCTGCATGAGTTAATCAACTGGTTGACCTTGGTCTCACTGGTCTAGATCCAGGCCTCTGTGGCCAAGTGTTCCTCTGAAGCCCGAGAGAATTTACTCTCTCATCACTGGGAAGTTGATGGACTAGCTGGGCAACACGGTAGTATGGAGAAAACCTACCCATCCACGACAATATTCCACTGGGGGAGAGAGGCTGGTTCCGCAGTGGACGTTGCCCAACAGTCATCTAAGACCAGCTTGATGTTGGGGTCATCCCTGTTGAGGACTCTCACTTCCATATAAATTGGTTGGCGGAGGTATTTCACTATTGGGTATTCTTTTTTCTTGTAAGGTTGTTGGTAGGAGTTGTCTGAAATGGAATGAAGACCTCTTCAGTATTCAGGTAGTTGATGGTTGCAACTTCTGCTTTAGTTAATGGACTTACTGCTCCGTTGGTCTGGTGGCATCAGAAAGATTGTTTTAGGGAGTATTCAAAATTCTTAGACTGTAACATCTCACCTGGGTAGGTTTGCAGGATCAAGGCCAGTGGACCTGGCTTCACTGAGGCCACTGGAGGAGGCAGACTTTTGACACTGGCACTTAGCAGCACGTCATCGCTGTTATAATAGCACTTCACTGTCATTCTGTAAGAGTATGTGGGGGGTGGTAGAGAATTAAGTTAACAAGTTGCTTGAATTTAGAGTATAGCTTAGGAAGTCAAATAGTTGTATCATACCTGAACTCACTNGGTTAATACCTGTTTACTTCAAAGTCTTAACCTCTTACCACCTTCCAGAACTAACCTTATGTCTTGTTCCACATTCTTTCAGGGGTATGTGAAACTGTACCAGCCCCTGAGATGGATCCTTGAAGACAGGTTGGCAAGATGAGTTTCCCACCCTGAGGGTACCCAAGTTGAGAGCTGGTTTTGTTTGGTGGCTGTAGACCTCGAAGTCCATAAATCCATCCTGGGTACACAGCTCACCTGTAACTAGACAGTGAAGGTTTAGAGAAAAATAAGTTTGTCTGCCACTTGATACTGTCACCTGCCAACCTGAGCGTGTTATGAGGGAAAGATTCCAGCTTATAGCAGGAGGCACCAGAATTTGTCTTAAGCCTCTTTTGGGGAAGATACCTTGATAAGCAGCTTGAGTTACGAGGGGAGCTTAAGCAACAGTTAAGCTGCTCTGTATAAATGCAGGAAGACTCAAAGGAGGGACACCAGGAGACGTGGAAAGAGCACTAAGTAGTGTAAGACAATGAGAAAATCCTGATAAGGGGCTCAAGTGACTTGATCAGCAGACAGTGCCTTGTGTTATGATGTGTCTTCTTTCAATTTTCACAGTCCTGAGTGGGGTGGGGGTTGGGGGAAGAAGCAGGAACTAATTTTTCCAGTTTGGTTTGACATGATGCAGATCAGAGATTAGAGAGCAGCACCGAGCACAGGCAATGCTGAATGAGAGAACCCACTCTATTCTTTTTGGGGAATTTGTAGGAATTTGGGGAAGAGCTTTTAGACTTATAGTCCTGCTAGTTAGAAGTTTGAGGCATTCTTCCCTAGACGGTAGATAGTAACCTAAAATACTCAGATTACTTGAATATGGAACAGTGAATTCTACCTGTATGGATGTTTTAGAAATATCATGCTTAGGGGCCCATAGAAGCTTATCTAGAGAGTCTGTTTCTCTAAATAAACAATTCAGAATCTAAACTTCTGTTTTCCCACATGTGCAAGAAGAACTAAAGCAGAAAAAGTAAAAAGTGGTTTTAATAAGAAGTTTTTACCTATAGAAACTGGTGACTCACAGGGACACTCAGGAAAAATCACCATGGATACTATCTCCAGTCGAAGGTAAAAGGTCAACTTGACTGACATTAAGTAGAACCGGTAGACTGGACATCCTTCAGAGAACTGAAATGAGAGAACATCACTCAGCAGCCACAGACTGTCTGGGGCCCAGAGCAGTTACAGGGAAGGAGGAAGGAAGTCTAATGAATGTTTCAGGGTACATTCCAGACTTACCAGGTTTCCCTTTAAGCCAGAAAAAGAGACCCTATCACTTCTCCAGATCAGGATGCTTCCCCAGGCAGGAAATTTGTTGCTTTAAGCTCATGCCCTGAAGCACCCAGCACTGCATGCTCTTTGTACTAAACATTCAAGCTTGAGCTAACAGATCAAATTCCAAGGAACAGCAGAGTACCCTGCCAAGCAAGTCTGAGCCAGACTCCAGATGTTATGAAATGCTATTGCAAAACATAGCCTAACATAAGATTATTCTCTGGTGTCCCTAGCAATTGCATCAGTCAAGATTAGCCTCAGTGAGGACTGCGAGGGACCATTTTGTTTGGATCAAGTTGTTCTGTTCTTAACAGAACAGGCTCAGGCATTTGACAAGTAGTTTTTACTACTCAATGAACTGAGAAAGACTAAGAGAATTTCCATTATAGAAGTTAAAGAGGCTTGGTGTTAGAGAGTGAACTTCAGTTACTTGAAAATTCATTTATGCAAAGTAATCAAAGGAGGCCATCTGAAGCTTGAATCTGTTACACTGGCAATTAATTTATGCCCAAGGCAGCTGTATCAAGGTTACCTGCAAGGATGTATCTCAAGTCAGGTTTTCATAGAGTTCAGAGGTTGATAGTGGAACATACCTTTGTTTTAAGAAGAGTTTTGCTGAAATGTAATCTCAAGCCATCTGTTGCTTCTATTTCAATCCCACTGTCATGCAACTGGCTCACTGCGATGTTCCTGTTTTCGATGCTTACGGACTTCAGCTTCCCAGGAAACTCCGGTATGGTGAGAGTCATGTGTGTGGCATTGCAAGTCACGGGATCTGGAAGGGATGATCAATAGAATGCCTATCACCAGCCTTGACAGTCCCCAGAACAGTGTCTTCCACAACCGAGTCCTCAGCTTCATGAGGCCTTACCTAACACACAAATAAGCTGTGACGAAAAGGTGATCTTCTGCCCAGGAGATACAAACGAAAGCTTCAGAGGCACCATGTAGAGATGACTGTTACCTTGCTGGAGGAACAGTATTGTCAGAGACATTGGTTTACTCAAATCTTCAACTAGTAAGAATCACCAGGGCAAGCACATTAACATTTTGAAAACTAGTTTTGTCTGTGAGTATGACCTGTAGGTGATCATTTCTATGCAGATGTATTCAGGAACTGGTTTTATTTCATGATCATTTTAATTAGTCATGATGTTTGCAAGAATGCTTATACTCTGAAATAGGACTGTTCTTGTTAACGTGGCTGATGCTTGAGCACACGTGTGCCAGGACCTGTCCTAAGTACTTCGGTACATTTAGTGTTGTCTTGACTGTTGGCCCAAGAAGCACCAACACCTACTGTAATGCAAGATATAGGACAATAACCCAAACAGAAGACCTTAGTTCATGAGACTTAAGAGAACCCTTGTTCTATATCATACTGTAGATTTAAGTCTATGCGGAAGTGACCAGACTGAGGTGAGGACCGTGTCTGTTTTGCTCACTATTATGTCTTTAAGTGCTCAGTGAAGTGTTTGGCACATAGCAGACGTGAGTATACTTACTGAATGGGTTGTATTGTCAATCAATTTGACAATATGGTTGAGATCATGGTTGGATTTAGGAGTAGTGGTCTGCCTGGGTGGTGGTGCAGAAAGCTTCATACTTACCACATAGCGAGTCACTCCAGTGGCATTGAATGGCACATGCAGGGTCATCTTGCGGTTGTCAAACAGGAGACTAAATCCTTGTTCCATGGCCTCTGACAGGGTCACACTTTGGGCTCTGGGACCATCACCAAAGTCAACCATCCATCCCATTTGAGGTTTGATATTCTGAGGTCAAAAGTTTTGTTTAGAGGCCTGTTGTTCACTTAACCTTGAGACTATTATATCTAAGAGTTTAGAGAATTAGAGGTTAGCAAGGTCAATTCAAGAATTACTCTCATACCTCACTTTCATCAGCCAAGCCAGAGAAAATCTGCGGAAAGGAAAACTGAAAGAAAAAGAATCTTGTGAGACTGATTTGGAATAGAAAGTTTCTAAAGTTATGTCTCCTGCCCACGTGTGGTGAACACCCAGGGAAGTTTGTGTAGTTCTTATGCCAAGAAGCCTGGTTGTGGGACACACTAGGAGCTAAAGTTATGCCTCCTGCCCACGTGTAACACCCAGGGAAGTTTGTGTAGTTCTTATGCCAAGAAGCCTGGTTGTGGGACACACTAGGAAAAGTGCAGGAGCAGCTATGAGTCACAGCTGTGCCCATAGATGCCATCTCACCTCTGAGTTTGATACCAGAAGGCGACTGGAAGACCCAAGCCCCTTTCCAGTTTTAAGCTGAGACCCCGAATTTTTAAGATGTGCAACCTTTTACAATGCCCATAGAAATCAAGCCCTGTGTAAAGTCATGTGGTTTCATCATTTTTATGAAGTAGGGGTATTACTTTTAGTTTCTATTGTTGACATCAGCATGTTAGGCTATAAGTTTCATGAATTTGTGACAGGGCTGTTTTTGCTCATGTGTACATCTCAGCATCTGGAGTAGGGCCTGAACACAGTAGGTGTTCAGTTTTTCAGATTGTGATAGCAGCTACCTGTTGAATACTTTCTATTACCAGGCACCATGTGCAAAGTACTATATATACTCAGTCGATTCTTAGAGCCATGCTATGAGGTAAGTGTTATGGTTCCCCTACTTTGGGCATGGAAACAAAGCTTCAGTGTGGTTAACAAATTAAGCCATAGTCACACAGCAAGTAAATACAGGATTGAAATCCCATCCAATAACTAAGCCCACCTCTATCTAGAACACTACCCACATTCCCGCTGCAGGATCTGATAAGCCATCAGCCTGTTTTACTCACAGACATGAAATCCTTCTTGCAGACTGTGGATCCTGAGAACTCATAAGTCTCTTCTACTTGCATAACTGGACAGAAGAACTGATAAGTGACAGCCTCGTGTTTTAAAGCAGAGCTGTTTATGAGTCTGATGTTCATCTGGTGCCCACCATGCTGCGTGCAAATAGCATAGCGAGAACATGTTGAGAACATGCTAGTACCTCAGTGGGAAAGGTGACTAGAGCACCATCCAGCCCTGCTGAGTGACAAACCCTTAAGAGTTACCAATACTACGAGTTCTGGAAAGTACTTCACTCCTATGTCAGGAGGCTGTATACCTAGCCTAGTAGAGATTCATGTTAACAGGACAACTTGAGTATCAGGGATTGAAGTTCAGTTCATTTTTGTCTTGTGTCTACCCTATGTCTGGGTATCAGTGGGGCTGGTCTGGGGCCTCTACCTAGGTTGTTTAGATAGTTAATGAGCACCTAAGTAGCAACAATTGTGCTAGGCAGAGCCATCTTTGATTATCCCTCACCTCAGGGAACTCAGTTCGGGGGACCTCTGCTTTAGACTTTCTGTTAAGTGTTAGCAAAAATTTTAGGTTTTCTGTTCTGCATATAATCCATAGCATTTTTAAAAAATACCTAAGAGTATAAAGACTGTTCTTAAGTTTGAGGATCATTTTAAAGCCATGGGATTTGAACATCCACAGGTTGCAGACACTTGGTCTACAGGAAAACACCTCTAAGCCCCCTGAAATTGGAAGGTCTATTTTTGAAGGGAGAAGTTTAACCACAGGAGAGTCACAAAGGGCACATGATTACTTCGTTGGGCAATTAGAGTGCCTCGGTGGACCTATGACTTATGATCCAATCCTGTTCAGAGCAGAGTGAGATTGTACCTGCAAAGCTTAGACTGTAGACTAATTGCATCAGAATGAGATGATGTAGCCTGTTAGCAAAGCAGATTCCCAGGACTCACCCCAGACCTGCTATATCAATTAAATCAGTTAAATCTCTACCTGGCTAAAGTCCCCAGGTGATTCTTTGCACATTTAAAGCTGCTTAGACAGGTTGCTTTTATTGCTCCTAATAATCTGATTGGGCAGTAAATGTTGTTACTTGGTAATAGAGAAACCCTTATTGCTTAGCTACTGCTTGCCTCCTAACACCTGTTTACAGGTTAGTGTCTTTCTATTTGCTGGCACCAAGATGGATTTCCATCTCCGATAGGGGTTACAGATCAAGATAGCTCAAGTTTGAGCATTTGTGTCTAGGTTCTGTGCCAAGTCTTCACCTGTAATATCATTGATCTTTGCCCGTGGAGAGAATACCATTATCCCTGTTTTCCAATGGGCAAACGCAGGCTTAGAAAGGTTGGGTAATTTGCTCAAGATCACACCTAGACAGTGTCAGAGCCAGGGCTCAGACACAAACTCCAGGGTTTCCTCAGCCTCGACATATTCAGGCCTGATAAGTCTGTTATGGGATGCCACTCTGGACAGTGTAGGCTAATTGGTAGCACACTTGGCTTGTACCCAGTAGATGCCAATAGCAGTCCCCACCCTCATCACCAGCTGTGATAACCAGAATTGTTTGACATTGCCAAATGTCCTCTGGGAAGGTTTAACAAAGAAAGAACACACCACCCCCTCTGGTTGAGAACCATTGCTCTACTCCACAGAGTAAGTCCTTAGCCACCAGGTTTACTACCAGTAACTGCTAGGTTACTACACTTCAAGTCAGTCCTCAAAGCAATTACTTACCACATCCCTGGCACAGGTCTTGTAGAAAGCCGTCAAGGTGAGCTTCTCTGGGACCAGGACATAAGTGCAGTTAGGCATCTCAAAACCGGAGGGATCTACAGAAGCCAGAGCAGGTGAGACAGGGAGGGCTGAGAGGTACATTTCAATGACAGTCAGCCAGAGCTGCAGAGCCAACACTGATAATCCATGCCTAAGGCATTTCAGTCACTTTACTTTTGATTCAGCTGGGTGGTGTGACTCAAGCTTTGATATTCCATGACTGGCAGCTGAAGTCTCCCAGGAGATGCCCTGGAAGTATCTTACCTTAGGAAGACAGGTCTTCCACTCTTGGTAGCATCATGCAAATCAGGGATCCCCTCCCAAGCTTGACATCACAGAAGTTGGATGGAAGCTGCTGCAGAGTTTGGGAACTCTGCTCACCAGACACATGGGGCTGAGCCAAGTTTCTACTAACTAGGCCTAAGATGAGATAACACACATTACCTACCCACCACAGATGCGTGCCATGCCTTGGCTTCAAGATCGCTTGGGAACTCTACTGTTATTCCATTTTCATTGCAAGTGACAGTACCTGGGGAGCAAAGGAAACATTTTGGGCTTTCTCAAGCTGATTCCTACAGAAAGGTACTGGGAGACCCCTCCTCTCCCATAGGCCTCAGGGAAGGATGCCAGTTGAGAGGCAGAAGTTGTCCCTGCATTCTCAAGCAGCTCACAAGTTGGTGAGAGAGACAACTACAATACAATACACCAAGAACTGCAGGGAAGGTGTCAGTTAGGTGCCCCGGGCTTTCTGAAGAATTGCCGGGATAAACCTGGGTCAAAGTTAACAAGCAGGTCTGGAGAAGCTAGGTCAGAACCTTGACAGGGGAGCTAGCAGAGGTGGGAATGGTAGGTCTGAAGAACTAGAGAAAAACTTTGTCTACAGTTTTTTTTGAATTAAAGTTAAAAAAGAAAAGTCCTTGGTAAGCCCAAGGGTGCATTTTTCTAGACCAAGTTCTGCCCACGATCTGCCACTTCTCAGTCTGTAGCCAATACTTTCTTTAGACACGAGTCGTGTTTGAAGCCCCCTGCTCCCAGAGATGGGCTTAGTGTTATGGTATGCTGCTCTGTGGACGCGGTGAAGCTTGAGGCAGTGTGAGGTTGGAAAGTAGTGTAGGTGTTTTTCTCGAGTTCTTTCATTTAGCTGGTATAGCAAGCGCATAGGTAGGTGGTGGAAAGATCTAGTGACTTTACCATGGGAAGAAAGAGCACCCCTTTCCTAGGGTGAGGGAAGTCATCTAACCCAAGCTCACACCTCCTGGCTGACTAGGCACTCTACCTACACCCAGTTCTCTCCACTAAGGGGACTTCTCTCGCCCAGGAGACATACCTGGGAAGGTAGGATCCACCAGCTGAGGAATACCTATCAAGTTCACTGAAGTCACAAGGGCGAAAAAGAGAGCAAGTGACCTGTAGGCGCTAGAAGAGGACAGGGGAGGATTAAGGAAGAACGAACTTAAGCAAACGAGGCCATTGCATCTGTCCCTCTGCTCCCAGAATCACTCACCTCCAGCCTGCATTGGGCCAGCTTGGGGGAATCTCAGAACCTCCCCAGCATCTGCACGCCATTGCCAAAGGCACTACCGAATCAACCGGGTGGAAAGTGGGCTGCTCTGTGCTTTTGTAGCAGGAGGCAGGGCGTGGCCCCGCCTTCTACCCATTGGGGGCACCTGAATCTTCCCTCACCCTCCAGCTGAGGAGGAGATCTGGGGAGGAAGTGACATCTGCCCTTCCTGACACTTGCCGTTGGAATTCTGCCAGCTGCTCTGCGGGGCAGGCGTGAAGTCAGTTCCCTACAATTGGCTCCAGGTGAGAGAATTGGTGTTTTTGCCTATAACTTTGGGGAAAATAAGGACCTTTTTGACTAAGTGTTTATAAAATCCAATGCAGAGAGAAAGAAGGGGGTGGGCTTTATTGAGAAAAGAACATGTCCTGTCTCCCACTAACCCTTTCCTTTAAGTAACCTCAAGTCTCTTGGCTATTGCAGAGGTTGCCCTGGCAATGTGCATGAAGTATCTTTTAATAAATGGGTGAATTATTGAGTTCTTTATGAATTACGAGTTATTTATGCCCAAGTATAAAAGTTGACTTGTACTGCAAAAAAGTACAATTATAGAAGGATATAGAAAAAAGGTAAAAGTCACTCATAATCTTGCCACTGCTAATATTTAGATATATAACTTTACAGACTTTTTCTACAAACACCACACACAATTAAAACAAACAAACCTGGGAGTGAAGTTTAAATACTCTTTTGTTACCTGCTGTTACCACTTTATAACATGTCATGGACATTTTCATATCAAACACAAAGATCTCCATTTTCAAGGTTGCATAGTATTCAACATTGAGATAAATCAGTGTCTACTTAACTGTTCCTTAATGATAGGCATTAAGATGGTTTCCAATTTTTCATTGTTATAAAAAATAATATGAACATTCTTATACATTTCCCCAGTTAACTTTCAGGATAAATTTCTAGAAGTAGAATTTCTGGGTCAAAGGGACTAGTGATCTAAATAAGAATGTAAATAAGAATGCCATGTTGTATAATACTTGGGAGTTTATAGATGGGGAAACTGAGGCAAAACAACTTGCCCAAGCTTTGACAATGAGTGTCAGGGCCAGGTTGAGAACTCAGATTTCCTGAGACCTGATCAACCTTTATCTTTTCAGCATCTTTCATTGCTCTTGAGACACCTAGATGACTACAGCCAATGGTCTATAACAGGTGAATAAAATGATCAAACTTTGCTCAAGTAGAGTGTTTGCAATGATTGATTTATGTGTTGCTGTTGTGGTGTAACTTGAGGAATAATCTCCTTTCCCTGTTACAAGTATCTGAAATACTACCATAGGTTTGAGTAGTGTTTCCCAACTTCCTTGATCAGAAGGACCACATGGGGCTCTCCTTAATATCGCAGATTACTGGGTCTCACCCAAAAGCTGATGAATCAGGGGCTTGGGTAATGTATGCTTAACAAGCGCCACAGGTGATTCTTATGATCAGAAAAATCTGGAAAATACCTGGAGGGAGGTGGGTGGGAAAATGAGTGGTTGCCAGTGGTTAACCTCTTTACAGGAATTAATCGATTAGATTATGTCCCAAGGGAATTAGGGAGAGGGAACAAAATACCAACAAGGATTTTTGGGGTAGAGATGGTGAAATGATTGCATTTTCAGAGCAGAAGCATGATAGTAATAGTTACTTCTGAGCATATTTTCCAAAAAGTGGCACCTTTTCTGCAAACGTGAAGGTAATTTGTTACCACTATGGTTAAGACTACGATAAGAAGAAATTAGAGAAAGGAGCATGGACGCAAGACTCAGACCTACTGAGAAGGTGGCCAGAGAGGTGAATGTGCTCAGTCCGCCTCCCCCAGGTGTGATCCCCCCCAAGACGGTGCCTTTTCTCCAAAGAGGGGGGTTTGCCTTGGAAAAGGCAACTTTGATCAGAGCCCTCAGTTGAAGGCTTTTGAAAGGCTAAAGGCAGCACAGAGGCCTGAGCAGGAGACCTGGACCAAAGAAGGTCTGCAGTGAGGCTGGTGAAGGTGGGGAGTGCACCCCAGATTAATGTCACTTGCCTCGCCTGATACAGGCTTGTACTGTGTTGGGACAGCCACTGAGCAATTGGCTCCAGGCCCGTAAGAGTCAGTCTCTAGGATTCTGATCTAGAAAAACCCTGCATACATGCACAAGGATACAAATGGGCAGTGGCTGCTCCGTAATAAGACAGTGTTTCATACCAACAGGTAGGAAAATCTTAAATCTTTATGAATGTGATAAATCTTCAATATTTTACTAAATAATAGAACCTCTTTCAAATGTAAAATTTCCACAATCTTTTAAGTTTGCTAACTTATGAATATAAAGTGTTCCCTCTCCTCTCCATGTGCTGGTCTCTACCTATCATGAGGCCACCTCTCACCTGCTAATCACAAAGCATTTCTTGAAGGGGTTTTAGGTTGTTCTCAAGCATAAAAGAAAGCCTGTAGTTTTATTGTTGTCTCATTGGGCAGATGCTCTCCTTACTTTCTGAACTGTTCTTGCAAACAACAGTTCATAATTTAAAAATTCTGATTCTGTTCTTATTTTCCACAATAATTAAAAAAAAATAGTAGTTAAAGATTACTTAAATGTCATCATCTGGAGATGGTTAGATAAACTGTGAAATACTCTTCAGCTACTAAAATGATTCTACATATTTAATCGGATCTATGAATGCTGATGTGAAAGACATCCACAATAAAATTGGCATTTCAGAAATGTATAGTTAGTATGTTACCATGTTTTGCTTTTAAAAACCAAAAAAGGAACCTATGTGTGTGTCTGTACATTTGTGTCTGCATGTGGGTACAGAAATGTGTGTTTGCATCAGAAGTCTAGAAGGGTACACCAGAGAGTTAACTGTGTCACCCAGGCGAGGAGACTGTGGGTATTCAGGCAGGCCACGTGGCTGTGCTGGACATAATAACATTGTTGGTTCTGATTTGTTTGTGCTCTTGCTCTGCTGCATTTCAGAATATTTAATATCATCCCTGGGAATAGGAATAAAGAGATGGGAGGATGGGTGCCTCTTGCTTTTTTGACCTTTATTTACTTCTAAAAACATTAAATTGTTCTAGTGATAAAATAACCAATTAAAATAATTTTAAAGTGATAACAGCCAACAACAGTGAGTCTGGTTTCTGAGTGATTGATAGAAGCTGTAGACATCAAAGGCCCATGGATCAAAACTCAGTGGCATACAGGTATGACACCCAGGTGAACGGATTTGCAGCATGAGGCTTCTCAACAAAGTCCAGCTCCCTGTCGGAAAAGGAAGATATTAAGCCTAAAGAGGTCTAGTGACTTGCCCAAGGTCATTTACCATGTTAGCAGCAGACAGAGCTCGAGTGAGGAACTGTGTCTCCTGATGCCACCCCCTCACCCCCTTTCTGATTCATCTTTATTTTCTCTGTGCATGTGTGCATGAGGGGGTGTTTTAAAACTGTACTTCTCTTTCAGTTTTAAAAGTGCAAGATGACATTAATTAGAATTTAGCAGTGTAAGACAAATAAGAAATATAGAAACTTCTACCGGTATGTTAATACAGCTTAAAATAGCTTTCAAATATCAACTATGAATTTAACTCGGAAAAAGAGACTATGTCAGTGAGAATGTTCTGGAACACCATATGGTAGTTCCTTTAACAATTTAACTGTACTGTGTTGATGTTGTTTCCCCCTTTCAACAGATTCACATTGAATGAGGCTTCTCACAGTAATGGACTCAATAAGAACTAGGACAAAGGCTTTATCAACCTATAAATTCAAAGGGAGGGCAGCTTCCATACTTGGATGACAGAGAAGGCTCAGAAGTTCTAAGTAAAAACTCATTTGCATACAAATGTTAACAGATTACTCTGTAGCTAGGGCAATGGTTACTGCAGGAATAGAGAAAAGGTTTCCTTAGCAATGTATCCTTTCAGTTGATAGAATATAAAACATATTAAATATTAAAGTTCTTAAGGTACTGTGGTAGATTGGTCATAAAGGCCCCAATCTTCCACCCTCTCTGCACTCCCACCCTTTGCAATGTACCTTTGCAGTCAACCTCTCTCAAAACCTCCCCTCAAATCTGTCTGGCTTGTGATTTGCTTAGGCCAATAGAATGTAGCAGAAGTGACCCTGTGCAGTTCTGCAATTGGGTCTCAAGAGGCTTTGTACACCCATGCTCACTCCATGAGCACAAGCCCAGGCTAGCCTGCTGGATGACAAGAAGAGACAGGTCATCTCAGCTGAGGCCATTCTAGAGCAAGCAGTCCTCACCTGAGTGCCAGTTGACTGCTGATGAATGAATGAGCCCAGTCAGGTTCAGCTGAGCACAGAGGCATCATTCAGGTGACCGCAGACTTGTGAGCTAAGTCAAAGCCTATTGTTCTAAGCCACTTAGTTTTGGGTGGTTTGTTACATGGCATGATTATGACAGTAGGTGTCTATGACTACTGTTTAGAATTAATACTTATATAACATGCAAGACCTAGGCATAAATGAGTAAACCTAAATACATACAGGTGTATTTTTTTTCTGTCTGGTATCCTTTTCCCTTCTTTTGGCAACAGCCGTATGATGTGGCTTTAGAGAACTCTCCTTCCCATTGAATATAATCTTGGTGAGACTTTCAGTTGAGCTGCCTCCAGCACCCTTTGGGCAAAGGGTAGGTGCATAACCGAAGCTAATCACCCAGTCCACGTGCTGCCTATGGAATCTGAACCTCGATCAGAGTGACGCAGGTGCTAGCTCAGCCCGTTCCCTGAAGGGCTGGTTGTCTCTTAGATCCCAGGGGCCCCTCTGGTTCCTGGTTTTCAAGATGTGTGTGTATGTGTTTAAGTTTTATCTTCAATGTTTCTTTTAATTTTGAAATTTTACACAGAAAATTTGAAAAATAGAACAATGAATATCTGTAAACTGTCTACAAAGATTCAACAGTTACTAGCATTTTTCCTCATTTACCTCATCATGTCTTTCTCTATGTTTTTGTCGCAGAGTCATCTGAAAGTCAGTTGCGGACATTGTGTTTCTAAATAT